GAGTGCCGCACTGTCAGAGAATCAGTACTGACGGAGTGCCGCACTGTGTGAGGGTCAGTACTGAGCGAGTGCCGCACTGTTGGAGGGTCAGTACTGAGACAGTGCCACACTGTTGGAGGGTCAGTACTAACAGAATGCTGCAAAGCTTTTCTCATATCATTGTTGCTTATTTTCTAATCTGTGCCCTCTTCCTTTCATTCCCTTTACAAGTGGGAGCAACCTCCCCTTACCTACTCTATCCAGCCCACTCATTGTTGTGAAAACCTCTATCAAACTTACAGCACGGTACAAATAAATGGAAATTTCTGCAAGTTTACTGTCAGGAACATTACGGATACATTTTTTATGTACACTCAGGATCTCCACCCCTCTCATCATCTCAGGGCTGATAAACTCAAAAGCAAAGCAAGGCAGGAGCATGGATTGCCATGTACATAGCTTGGGAAAAAGCAGAGTTTGCTCGACCAACATTTACCCAAAGTATTAGCTGCCTTTCATGGTGCAAAACCCATGTGTCTGACCAGCAACAGGATTGCAATCAATAATGTAAAACAGTTGATCAAACAACCATGGATCAGTTAGTTTCAATTCAGTCCTCCAACTCAATGTGACTATGGTCCCTGCCTGACCTGGATTCCCAACACAATCTCACAGCCTGGCACAATCCCAACACCAGCTCAACAAAGTAAAGCCTACTTATAAAACACTGAAACTGGCTGCACTCCAGAGCAAAACAGAAGCAGAGAATGGGTTGGCCAAAGGCAAAAACGACAGACCTTACCCTTCTGAATCCCAGTGCCTGTAGGTTGCTTCACCCCCATTTTTCATTTCAAACACTTGCCTCAAATCGTCGGGAGTGCCGAATTGTGTGGTGGCCAGTTCCATTCTTTAAACGTCATTAACAAACTTGGTCAGGCGGGACTTTATTCATCTGAACGCACACTCGTAGTTCCCTCTGACATACAGTTATTTCTCATGCCTATCACTGGCAGAAGCTTGGCTGCTGCTGATCCTGCCATCTCCTTCATAGTGTTGCCCGAAGGACAGTGTGCCACACTCAGTTAAGAAGGTTGGTGACAAGTTCTGGACTAGTGCCACAACATAATGAGGGAGGCTAGCAGCCAAAATAGGAAGTTAACACTCTCGCAAATGTAAAGTCATTGGTCCAAACTTCATCCTTGGCCTTGTGTCCTTTAAATGCCAACACTGGTCAGAAGGCAGGCTGAAGCCTTGCTACAACTACTAAGGACTCCTATCCATTTGCACCAGATCAGAGGCTAACTCTTGACATTGTAATGTGCACCTTGATGAACATTCCCACACCAACGGTGTGATGTCTTCAAGTCTCCTGCAATGTCACTGATCACCTGAAGCATCTAAGCCACTGTATCAAGGATCTGGATCAAGTATCACATCTGGATCAAGATGCTGTCTAACACTCTAAACTTCCGACTAGGCATCTGCCGATCTGGAAATGCACAGGAGGTTTCCTTGCAGAGATAGATTTGGGACAGCAGCAACAACTTCTGCGATTTCTTTGGCTCTTTGCAGGGAACTTCAAGTATAGAGGAGTTTCTGTGCAAACCCTTGAAAGCAGACGCTGTAGCTGTTTAACATCTACTGGCAGAGGTGAGCCAATGACTCAATTCATGGAGGAAATCTCAAACCCAAACTGGAACAGAGATCAGATGGCAACAGCCATGCTGTAGGTGAATGAGAGGGTGAAAACTTCATTTCACTCCCTGGTGAGGTCAATTCCCCGCTGGAAAAACAATAAAATTATTTCATGTCTTCCGACACATTTAAACACATCCAGTTCAAATATGGTTGCGACAGAATGTTGAAATTTATTATTTGCACAATTGTTAATAACTGAACTAGCTTTCTGGGTTATCTTCAAAAGTGTTGGCAACATGAATTTAAATTTGCAAAGCGCACTCAAAAAGAAAATAAAAACATTCAGTTGACTGAACTGAACTGAAAAACCTGCGCAAGAACAATTAGCCTGTGAATATTTTCATAGCTGGTGGTGGATGTCAGAAGTCTGCAGTTCAGCTTGTTCTGCTCTCCTGGTGATCACAATGAATGACAGTAATGGAGTTCCTGATTAATCTCACAGATCTCTCTCTATCAAAGCCCACAGAAGAGCCAGGGGAGGAGAACCCCCAACTCTGGAGAACTTTGGGAGCTAAAGGTCCAAAACACCTGCCCCTCCCAAATATACAGCCACATTCACCACATAACATCTCCAACAACTCACCAACCTTATTGGAAAATATTAATCTCTGAAAGAAGGCCATTTGATTTTGCATTGGGATGAATCCACACCATCTATTTCCACCTTCTCCCTCTACAGCCTGTGCCAGTGATTTAACATTCACTCACTGCCATGTTATTTCTGCAGATTGGTGTTAAATATACCCACTTCCAGTACAGGTCTGTCCTCTCATTCTACTGTCTGGACAAGGTGAAATCACAGTCAATATTATAGAGGCCCTTTAGACGTCAAGAACATTAATCATATGA